TTCTTGCGAAAACTGAATTGCCCAACCAAGAGATCCTAAACCACAAGATCAATCTCTCCCTCTTCACAAAACCATTTTGGACCAGCTATTCCTGAAACTGGCTGAACGTTGGCTGGCCTCTCCTGCTAAAGCTCTCTGAAATCTTTACCTTTCTCTCTCTCCTTAATTCAAACACTCTGAGTTGTGCTCATGGCTCAACAGGCTGCATAAAGTTTATGCTTAAGATAGTTAATATTAAAACAAATCATTGAAGATTTTTAAATAATACAGAAACATCTTTTAGTACACGACATTTATCAAGTATTAATTATCAGATAAGCATGATAAATAATTTACATGCATTAATATATTTAATCAAATGATACTAGGAAAGAAAAGTTTTATACTACTAAGTTTAAAAATCCAAAAAATACATTATACAAAGATATAAATGACCAACATTTACTCAAGAATAAGTAGTAGTCCAACAACCATAAAAGATACTCAAAAGAAAGTCAAAGATATGTCCCCAAACTCGCAAGAACCAGATAGTTTTACAAGCAAATTATATTAAACCTTATAGAACAGATCATTCCTAGTTATTCAGTCCAGTCTGGAGCACAGAAAAAGCAGGCATGTCAGTTCATCCTGTAAGACTGGAACAACTTTGATTCTGAAACCAGACTTGGGTAACTTCTGATTCTGAATGAATGATGAACTATAGACCAATTTGACACATAAATATATGCTTATATTCATACATGTAAATAGAGAAAACTATGGTCCAATTTTACATATGAACATAAAGCTCTTTTTAAAAAATCTTCAATTGAATCCAGCAATATGCTGAAAGAGCAATGCATTGATAAAGTAGAATTTATCCCAGGAATACAAGAATTGAAACATCAGAAAATAGGTTAATGAAATATACCCTCATCAAGAGATCAAAGAAGAGAAACCAGATAATCATCTCATCAGATATCTAGAAAGAATTTGGTAAAATTCAACACCTTGGAGGGGCACCTAGATGGCCCTGTCGGTAGAACGTCCAATTCTTGATTTTCGCTCAGGGTTCGGGAGATTGAGTCCCATGTAGGGCTCTGCACTGTCAGCGTGGAGCCTGCTTGGGATTCCCTCTCTCCCTCTCTGCCCCTCCCCCACTCACTTTCTTTCTCTCTCTCTCTCAAAATAAATAAATAACCTTAAAAAAAATTCAACACCTTGGGAGACGTGGGAAGAAGGGAACTTTAAGTTAAAAACAAAGAGATATTTCCTTAACTTGATAAGGAGTACTGACTAAGGCCCCTGTTAAAAAGGGAAAAGACATCTTTATAATAATAGTAATGATAACAATGACAACAACAACAAAAATACATGTCTCATTAAAAAAAAGAGTTATAACTATCATTAGCTATAGAAGATAAGGTTTTCCACCTAGAAAGTCTAAGATACTTAACTAAAATATTACCAGGGAATTGGGAATGGTCTCCAAAAGGAGTACTAACCTACAAAATCAATACCTTTTATATATACCAGTAATAAAAACCTATTGGAAATATGTAATGGAAAAAAATATCCCAACCATACAGGCAAAAAAGACCCTAAGCATCTCAAAATAACTCTAACAACAAAGGTGTCAAACCTAATTAAAATATCTACACAATTTATCAGTGGACACAAAAGTTAGAATAAATAGAGATAACATGTTCTTGGAAAAGAAGAATCATTACACTGAAGAGGCAAAAAGCAGAAACAGAATGCTTTAATGTTTTCTGCTTACTTAAACAAAGACTTTAAAACTAAAAATATAATTAAAAGACTAAAAACTAAAACTATAATTTAGAAATAACAGGTTAAACGCTGCTCTCAATGACATCTAGTGTGTGGGCACAGATATTATGATGACATTTCCAAGAGGGTAACAAACTGTTGAGATCAGTTATTTCAAGATGAACTTCTAACAAAGAAGACTAACATTTTTCATGATGACAGAATACAGAAAAAAAGATGTCTTAAAAAAAATACAAGAACAAGCAAAATTCTGATATACAAGAGAATAAAAATGCAAGACTTTTATTCTTAGTATTCTCAAGTTAAATGTCCTAGCAAACATTTCCAGCTTTCATTCTTAGCTTTCAGGCCATAAACAGGTAAACTGTTTGTCTCCCCACAGGACCTGTGTCAATGTACGTTATCCTTCTAGTTTTTCCACTGCATTTAGAGACGTGCAGTGTCTGGCTTTAATCATTTATTACTCAGGGCTTAATCAATGAATATATGAGACTTTTCAAAAACAAGAATGGAATTAAGAAACATAGGTTTTATAATTTAAACAATAAAGAACATAGGCTTGTAATTTCTTCCTTCCATGAATGTGCATGTGTGTGTTTGTGTGTATAAAACATATATGCATATAAATAAAACAGAGATGTTTACTTCAATATTGTTTAGAATAAGCACAATTTACAAATAACTCAAAGTTCCATAATAGGAGAAAGAATAAAATTCCTCTGAGTGTGCCATAATTTATGAATTAAAAATCAGCTAAATCATTGAAATTGTATACACTGAAATATATCCAAAATAAATTACCATATTGGTAAGTAAAGCAAATTACAGAATAGTTATAATATGTTATTTTTATTATATGTTTATATATGCTCTATACATTCACAGATTTGTATAAATGTAAACACATGGAAAAAGACTCAAAAAGTAAGTTACAGAACAATGTCTATAGTATGATCTTATATAACTGTTTATATGTAAATGTGTTCTATAAATTCATATATGCATGAAAATAAAAATGCACACAAAAATGTCTGAGAAAAGGTGTTAGGGGTAGGGAAAAGGAACTTTCACTTTCTGTTGATGCGTGAAATTTTTACAGAGACATTAATTTTATAACTTGCATTTCTAATAAGCTCCCAGAATGCTTACGCTGCTGACCCAAGGATCAACTCTAGAGAACATCCATATAAAGATTTTGATGGCTAGCTTTTTTCCTCACCTACTCTTTTCTGCAAAGAAGTTCTGTAGCTGTGAAAGAACTTGTGTTTTTCTGTTTACTGAGCCCCTAGAGGTCAAGAAAAGATTCAGAGTTCAAGTCCTTGAAATGGCACATAATCAATCACTGGGAAACTTCTGAAAAACTTTTGAGCCCCATTCCTCCTCAGGGTCTTTCATAATCCCTCCTAGGGCCCAGGCTATAAAAAAATTTCTCAAGCTCTTTCTCTTAGCTGGAATCCTGTCACATTAAACATTTCCCTTACGAATCTTGGTTTCAAAGTTTGCAGCAAAATGAATATTACTTTTCCAAGTTTCTTATTCACTGCAATCATTAAATATGTACTGAAAAAATCTGCATTCGTTGATTGGCTTGAACAGTTGGTTGGCCTTACAAGTATAATACCCATAGAGTATCTACAGTAATCAGCAATCAAAGAGTTATTCAGTGTGATGCCATCAGTGTTTTCCTATCTACCTCAAGACTTTAAATTCTTATGCTATTTTTAATTCCATAATGAGATATAGATCACAACAGAGTTCCTAAAAAATGAAAAGATTCCATTTAAAATATGTTTACCTTAAGAGCACTGGAACTCTGAAACATTTCCAGTGAAAGTATAAAATGACATGACCACTTTGAAAAACTCTTCAGTAGATTCTTACAAAGTTAAATCTACATCTACCTTGTGACACACCAATTCATTCCTGGTGTATTACCCAAAAGAAAGGAAACAATATGTTCATAAAGCACCTGTGTAAGAATGTCCCTAGCAGCTTTGTACAAAATAGGCAAAAACTAAAAACAGTGATGGACATTTGTTCATCAACAGGAGAATAGATAAATCGTGATTACATTCATACATACATACAACAGAAATGCTACTCAGCAAGGAAAAAGACATAAACTGATGACACAAGCAATAACATGAATGAACCTCAAAACATTAGGTTGAGCAAAGAAGGCAAAAACAAAATAATATATATATATATATATATATATATATATACACACATGGTATGACTCATTTACATGAGCCCTCAAAACGTGTAACTTATCTCTGGGGACAGAATCAGCAACTGGCTAAGTTTGGTGCAAAGAGAATAGATTGGCAAGGAAGAGGCAGAAGGAGCTTCCTAGAGTAATGAAACTGTTCTAGATTTTGTTTTCACAGTCTTTACCTGGATTTCTAAGAATGTCAAAAAATCTACCAAACTGAACACTTAATATCTGTGTACTTTATTGTATGCAAATCATATCACGATAAAAAATGTTAGGCCTAACTATTCAAGAAAAAGAAATATTTGCCAAAGCAATGTCCTTTGAATTCAAAATAAAATATACCTCTTTGTCATTTGCTTAAGGTCAGGTTTAAAAAAGTAAAGCTGGTAACTGGGTCTTTGTCATTTGCTTACAGTTAGGTTTAAAATATATACTTTAGACAGAATAGTTTGATATTTAAAATTTCCATTATAGCTGACAAGTAATTTCCATTATAGCTGACAGATGAGTGGTTACAGGATTATGATTTTGAACTTAAGGAAATGTAACTGAACATCTCAGTTTGCCTTAGACAGTGTTGACCTGATGTCACAGCATTAACAGTGCCCCTTTCACTACCAAATGCATTCTGATTTAGATAAAGACCTATAAAGACACTTTAGCTGGAAAGACATTAGATATTATTTGGCACAATGCGCTCATTCACTTTTCCATTCAACCTACATTTACTAGGCATCTACTATGTACCTAAATAAGTCCCTATATTCTTAGTAACATTTCACATTGATTCTTTGTTTCCATAATCAAAACATAAAACAGCTAGATGGATTTTCCCTAAAGTTAAAATAAAATATACAGTGAAAGAGAAACTAAGTATAGAAGAGAGCAATCAGAACCTTCTATAAATAAGGAAAATATAAATCAAGCTTATAAAAAAGTTATAATTTTTTTGAGCTATGTAAAACAAAATACATAAAGATATTCACAACTATCAAATAAAGGAAACCTTTACCTGCTGCCCTGTAAAGTATTTTAGGTTCAAAAAATATACAAGGATTTTTATCCTCTATGCATGACAAAAGAAGTCCTTTGGCCTGGAAAGGGCTTCTGGGTACAACCACCTGCAAAAACAGATTTTTTAAAGACAATTTCAGTACAAAATGTAGCCCAGTAAACTCACTTATAAAGGGTTGATATTTCGGCAACTAATTGTTACTAATTATAGAAATCTTGTATTTTTAGCCTAATTCCCACTTATTATAAATTTTACATGTTGTCCCACCCCCAAAAAATTCCACCTGTTAAACGAGTATTTATCAGATGTTCACCATATTCTGGTAACTAAGATATTGTTCTTCTCTTAAAAATCTAAACTTGCAGGGCACCTGGGTGGCTCAGTCAGTTAAGCATCCGAATTTGGGCTCAGGTCATGATCTCACAGTTCATGAGCTGGAGCCCTGTGCTGGGCTCTGTGCTGACAGCTCAGAGCCGGAAGCCTGCTTTAGATTCTGAATCTCCCTCTCTCTCTGCCCCTCCCTGGCTCAGGCTCTGTCTCTCTCTCTCTCTCAAAAATAAATACTAAAAAAAAATTTTTTTTAAAAAGCTAAACTTGCAGACACATAATAAAAGGAATCTGCAAAAAACAAAGTAGTCAGTATCTTCTAATACTCTGCTGATACTTTCAAGTGTAACTCTTCTCTAATTTTAATATATGAAAATCTCCTCCTTTCCCATGAATAATAGGGTCTTCATTTCCTAAGTGGAAAATAATCCACTGAACTTTATGATCTGGGCAATAGAATGTCCAGTTACATTGCAAAGCTGAAAGAAAAGTATGGATACTGCCCACTTCCAGTCGAGAGGAAAGGGCTCCAGGATCTTCTTGAGAAGGACTTTGACAAGGAAGAAGATGATACCAGCAGGTGGCACATGTGTTAAATGGGCCAACCACTCCATGTGGATACTACTGTTCATAGCAACCCATGAGGAGGCTGCTATTATTTTCCTCAATTTAGAAACAGAGAGACAAAGGATTAAAAGAAAGACCAAATAATCTGCCCAAAGTTACACTCTTTGCTACCCCAGGGATCCTCCCACAGTTTTGAAACCAGAGCCTGAGGTCTTACTACACCACTTTGTCCCCAATCACAAACTTACGTCTAGTTTTTAATGACTGTTCAATAACTGCATAAATACCAGTGTTACAGAGGAAGAGTTATTAAAAGAAATCTGAATTTATCTCAAAGACTCAATTAAGATTCCTTGAAACAAACTACATTTGGCTTTCAGAATCAATTTTACACTATTTTCAATAGAAGGATTCTGATTTGAAAAACTAGCACAGGGGCACCTCGGTGGCTCAGTGATCTCACAGTTTGTGAGATGAAGCCCCATGTTGGGCTCTGCGCTGACAGTGTGGAGCCTGCTTGGGATTCTGTCTCTCTCCCTCTCTCTCTCTCTCTCTCAAAAAAATAAATAAACATTTTAAAAGATAGCACAAATCTCACTATTTTCTATAAAACAGAACACATTGCTTACCATAATACACAATGTCTTTATGTTCCTACTTTAGTTTCTCTTCGTCTGCTTTCTTCATGTGTTTTTAGCATTTTGTACTGTTTTCATTTGGTGTTAAAAAGAAAAGAGAAAAGAGGGAAGCAAAGAAAGTAGGGATCGAGAAACAAAAATCTATTCTTAAAAATGCTGGGTAAGCATTTAAACTATAAATGTGAATGAATGTTCAGCTCGAGCACAAAAATACCTGTTACTTCAAATGTGGCTTCTGTCCCAACCTACCACTTCTAGCTTACATTGAAAAATTATGCAACCTCTACTCAATTGAAAAAACAAAAACAAAAAAAAACCTTTATGACTTTGCTCTGGTAGAAAAAATAAAAATAAAACAGACACATGTTTACAACCAATTCATGTTATCAAACTCACACACAGCCCTAGGTAGACATAGGAGTTTCTATCATGATTCCCTGGAAAGCTCTTAAAAACAGAAATCGAAAAGATCATGGAAAAAATTACGACATACTGGGGCACCTGGGTGGCTCAGGTCATGTATTCACGATTTGTGAGTTCGACCCCCACATTGGGCTCTGGGCTGTCAGCGCATAAAGCCTGCTCGGTATTCTATCTCCCTCTCTCTCTGCCCCTCCCCCACTTGCTCTTTCTATCTCTCTCAAAATAAATAAAAATAAACTTAAAGAAAAGAAGAGAGAGATGCTTCAACCTTGTTTGATCAAGTATTACCTTACCTGGACTGGAAAACACATCTGGATAATAAAGGTTTTGTCTTAGAATGAAGCAAAAGTCCTATCCCTCTGACTTTCAGGCAAATATGCATGCACTAAACAGATTTATTAAAATTAACCCAGAATCACTTAAGTGAGAAAGGCCCATTAGAAAGAAACAGAGCTTTGAAAGAGGGGGAGGATAAACCAACTATGTTCATGGTCTTATTCTTTGAAGTCTGTGAAATTAATGTCAGGGTTAAGCAGTGCTACTTCAATAAGAATATTCCATAAACCTGGGAATTGGATAGATGATCTAAAATAAATACTCTCTTTCTAAAAATAAAACAAAAATTCACATAAATTCCATAAATCCTGTTTGCTTTCCTCTAGATAAGCACATTAGTTAACGGAATGAACCAAAATGGAACTATCCAACAGAGATCAAATGTAGCACACAAATGAGGATACCTTGATTCCTGGGCAGTGAGCAAAAAAGGCTTCAGGACTCTGAGAATGATAAAGAGCCCCATGGCCGACGCAGCCCCAAGGGGCCCGGATGGTGAGGCTTCCACAATTAAAAAGATCTCCAGAGCGATAGCGGTACTTGGCAGCTTCATTAACAATCTGAGGGGGGAAGAGAGGAAGGATGGGTCATGAGGAGTCCTTTATTCCCATCCATATCCTTAACCATTTTATCAGATCTTTAAATATATGCCCATAACAAAATAACTTGTAACACATTAGCTCTAAGACAGCAACAACAAAAAAATTCCCAAGATCAGAGGTGGGAAAGTGGAGGCAAAACTTCAATACTTCCCCGAACTCTGTCTAGGAAATGTTCAATTATAGTAAAATGAAATCCTCCCACCTGATCAAAAGCAGGGAAAATGTAATCTGCAAACTGAATTTCCGCAATGGCGGTAGCCCCAGTGACTGCAATCCCAATTCCAAATCCAACGATTCCTTGTTCACACAATGGGGTGTTGAAAACTCTATCTTTTCCTAATAAAAAGAGTACGACAAATGAGAGTAATGTAATACACAATACAAGTGAAAATTCAGGGAGTAAATGGTGATGGAGAAAAAAAGCGTAGAACAGGTGAAGGAAGTAGAAAATAACTACCAGGTGCCTGGATGACTCTGTCGTTAGGCATCTGACTTTCTGACTTTGACTCAGGTCATGATCTCACACTTTGTGAGCTCAAGCCTCCCATTGCATGAGCCCAAGCCCCACCTAGGGTAAAAACACTAGCCACACTGTATCAGGTGCACCCCACTTCTCTCTCCCTCTCTCTCTTTCTCTCTCTCTCTCTGTCTGCCCCTTGCTCACTTGCACCTTCTAAGAAAGAAAGAAAGAAAGAAAGAAAGAAAGAAAGAAAG